GGGGCACGAACCCGTGTCCCCTGCATCGGCAGGCGGACTCTCAACCACTGCGCCACCAGGGAAGCCCCATACCTTTTCTTGAAAAACCTTCATTACCAACTTCCAAACTACCTTACTGATTCCACCTCCCCCCATGATCCTGCACAACCTTCGAGCTCCAGCCCAACAGACCCTGCATGGTCCCTACTCCATGCCTTTGTTCACACCAGTCCCTCTGCCCAAGAAGCCCTCCACTCCCCTCTGCTTAACCAAAGCCTACCCATTGTTTAAGGCCTAACTGAAGTCCACCTCCCCCATGCAGCCTTCCCTGAACTCCCCAGGCTTGGGGCTCTCCATCCCCTGATCTCCTACAAAATTCTGTATTTTTTGTACCCTTTATTTGACATCTAATAATGGAAAGTAGAGGAAAGGAAATGTCTTATGATGCTATTCTTTCTCATCCATCCTCCCTCTATTGTTCAGAACCATGGGTTCCTTGAAATCAGGACCCTACCCTTATACTCTTTTGTTTCCCCCATCGCACCCAGTAGGGAATAAGAGCAAAAAAAAAAAAAAAAAAAAAAATTGATGAACTCAGATGGAAGGGCAGAGAAAAACTTAGGGAATGAAACTGAGCGCTAAGGGTAGAGGAGAAGGAAGGGCTGGAGACAGCTTCCCATCCCCTCCATGAAGATGCCAGCACGGTTGCCCAGGTCGCCTCCCAGCCCCACACTCACCCAGCTGGTTGGAGAGAGGCAGTGTGAAGGTGGACTGCTTCAAGGGGCCCTGTGGCGAGGTCCTGTGGTGGACCCCCCTCTCTGGAGGCTCCCTGTCCAGATTGGGAGCGGGCAGGTGGCAGAACTTCCCAGTGGAGTTGGTGGGGCACCAGCATTCGTCCCTACCAATGCAGCGGCCTCCATTCAGGCAGGGGATCTGGCAGAAATCTACAACATCGACCTCAAGGTGACGTGGTGGAAGAACACAGCAGCACCTACTATGTGGCCGCTGGGTGACAAGAGGGAAGCAGGGGGAGCAAGACCCCCAAATCTGGATGGCTTTGGGAACCGGGCACCCCCTGAAATGCAGGGACTTTCCAGGAGGCCTAGGAGGATGAAGGAGGATGGATAATAACAGGCCTTGCCTTTCCTCCACCTGCAGTAACCTGGGGGATGGGACGGGAGTCGGGGGCTTGCGGGGAGTGGCACTGTTAACGCCTTCACTTTTCTGTGGAGGAAACTTGGGTTCAGCGAGGTTGTGAGACTTGCTCAGAGTCACATGTGACAGAGCTGGGTGAGGACTCAGCATTGTGTGGTTGGAGACCATTCACAGGAGCCACAGTATGAGAGCACCCGGCCTCCTTCCTGCAGAACAGCTGGGCTCCAGCCCAAGGCAGGCCTGTCCTTCTGGCCACCCCTGCACCCAGCCCCAGGGCCAGCCAGGAACCATGTGAGCGGGGAATGGACTCACAGATTCGGAAACCAGACTTGGGGTCATGCCCGTGGCCGCTCTGGCTGTACAGGGTGGTGGTGTCGCCACGCTCGCAGCTGCTGGCACAGCGCCCATGGGCACAGGTCTGCTTGCAGACGGTGGGAGTGAAGACGATCTTGATCTTCTTGATTTTCTCCGTGAGATTCAGCCCTGCAGAGAGAGGGCTTGGGTCCAGGGGGCAAGGCTGAGAGGCACAGCTGTGACCTCCAGAGGCTGGTTAGAAAGGCCCACGGGACTGGGTTGAATCCATCCCAAGGGCATTTGCTAAGTACCTCCTGGATGCGAGGTTCCATAGCAGGGGCCGAGTAACAGCTCACAGGCCAACATCTACTGAGGGATGCCAACAGGCCAGCAACTGAGTTCGTGCCTTATGCACAATAACTCTCAACCCTCTTGAGTATTATTTTAGGTTGAACCACTAGAAATTGCCATTTCTGTAGGTTAAAATGGTTGAATATTGGCAATGTTCTTATATCTAACCTAATGTTTCCATCTGACAGTTAAGGAAACTGAGGCTCAGAGAAGGATGGGTTGCATCCCAAGTCACACAGCTAGCAAGGGCTGCAGCTGGGCTTTGCACCAAAGGGCAGAGAACAGAATGTAGCTCAGACTTGCCAGAGAAGAGAGTTTTCCAGGAGAACACCTGAAAGAATGATTTACAGTTGGGTGTTGGAGGCCCTAATGGCCAGAACAAGGATAGGGCACTTTATTCAGCTGGTGGTGGGAAACCATTGAAAATTTTCAGTGAGAGATCAGAGACGAAGTGGGGGGAGGGTAATGCCATCTGAGCTGGGGTGTGCAGGTGGATGGAGAGACAGGGTGACTGGTTGGGAGGTCATTGCAGCAGTGTGAGCTGAGGTCGCTTCATTTAACACAAGTGGTGGCAGTGGAAATACAAAGGAGGGGTATTCATTCTGTGTAGGGGGCCCAGAGGGGAAGACAGGAGGCGGAGGGGTTGAGAAGGGAAGTGTAAAAGGTCTATGGAGACTTGACTGTGAAGGGAGGAGAGATAGAAAGGGAGGCAGAGAGGGAAGTGGAGAAACAGCCATGCGTGTGCGCGTGTGCGCGCGTGTGTGTGAATGGGAGAGTTGTAAGTAACTGCATATGCTCTAGGGAAAGGGCTGAGTGGGGGACAGGTTGAAGGAGGAGGAGAGGGGTGGGGGGAGGGCAAGTGACAGCCTAGTGTTGCAGAAGAGTCAAGAAACAGTGGGATGTGCCTTAGACAAGAAGAGGGGCACTTCCTTTTCAAGATGGCAAGAAAGGCCATCAGCTATAGGAAGGACACTGATGCATGCTGTCCACAACATGGATAAACCTCAGAAACATTACACTAAGTGAAAGAGCCAGACACAAAAGGCCACATATTGCGTGATTCCGTTTATATGAAATGTCCAGGTTACGCAAATCTATAAGGACAGGGAGTAGATTAGTGGGACCAGGGGCCGAGGCGAGGGTGGGAGTGGGGAAGGGAGTGACTGCTTAATGGGCATGGGGCTTCTTCTTGCAGTGATGACAATGTTCTGTAATTAGATAGTGGATGCACAAAATTGTGGATACACTAAACATCACTGATGTGTACACTTTAAAATGGGCAGGAGGTGAGGACTCTGGGGAGTGGAAAGCATGGCCATGGGATGGGGCTGGGGAAGGTGGGGGCAGCTTGGAGTAGCTGCTCTGAGGAATGAGAGAAAGTGTCCAGGCACACCGGGAAGGATTGCTGGGCAACGAGCAAGAATGTGCGGAGGCTTGAATCCTCAGGGATGCTCAGCTCTCTCCTCTGGGAAGCAGAGGCCCCGCTGTAGGTACCAAGGGGTTTACAGGAAGGATGAGGTGGAAGGACCGGCGCCAGGGAGGTGAGGTTCACAACTGGATATGAGGGAAGCAAAGGCAGGACAGGTGACAGATGGGGCAGAAATGGAGCAATCAAGGTCTAGGTGTCTCAAAGGGGCAAAGTCTCCAACAGCTGGTTTAGGACCCCTGGAGCCCGACACAAAGCAGATGCTTGACAACTGTTTTGTTCATTGGCTGAAAAGATAAGAGACAGGGTGACAACTCAGCCCTTCTGAGAGGGTGAAGGGGGAAGCAAAGGTGGGTAGAAGGAGGTCCAAGATTTAGATGCCCCGCTCTTTGAGGACCTGGAGCCAGGGTGTCCTTACCCCAGGAGGATGACGGGTGGCCCAGATATGCTGCCTGCTGGGCACCATCCTTCCGTTCAGGGCCTGGCCCCATGGGCAGGGCATTGGAGGTCAGCTGGCCATTGGCCGCAGTGGCCAGATAAAGTCGGACAGTCTGGGACAGCCCCACGTGCTGCTGGGTGGCGTGTGTCTGGCTGAGCCCACTCAGGGTCCTGTGGAGACAACAGGGGCATGGGGTTTGCATCCCAGGAACAGTGTCTCTGTGCCCTTCCTGTTCAGGATGTCCACCCCCACTTCTGCACTAAAAGAGTGTTCTCTGTTTGGCTGCCTTCTTGCCAACTCCAGGAAAACGGAGGTGCCCTGAGACAGGGGAACAGGGCTAAGGCCAGCTGACTAGTTTGGTGGGAGTGCCTACCCCTATGTTGAACTGCCAGGCTTTGGCTGGGTAGTCTGGGCAAGTCACTGAGCCTCCCTGGGCCTCAGGGCCCTCGACTGCAAAATAAAGGTGTTAGATTGGTCCCATGTAGCTCTAACATTTGAAGAGTTTGAAACTCTGATGGACCAGCCCTTGCCCTAAAACTGAGTCCTGTGCCTGCTTTTGCCACTTCTTAATACAACCTTTCATACAGATTGCTTGTGGAACAGGTGCCCAGCAAATACACGTTAACAGATTGATTCAGGGGCGGAGCCCTGAATATCCCTCTGATTAATGTTATTGTAAAAATAATAGAACAACAATGTTCAAGGAGAAAAAAATAAATTCTTCATCCTCCTACCCCAACACGGCAAATACTTTGGCATATTTCCTTTCAACCTTTGCTCAAGTATATGTTCTTACACTATTGTCATCACTTGCAGATACCATTTAAATTCTGACTTTTTCACTAAACATTAGATCGTACTTTATACAATTTCACAATTTTCATATTGATCATCTTAATTGGTACAAGGTAGTCTATCTGAAGATGAATCACAATTTATTCAGACATTCTCCTGTTATATACTTAGATTGTTTTTTTAATTTTCAACTGTGGACATCCTGACTCATATGGATTCTTTTCTTCGTTTCAAATATTCCTTAAGTATAGGGGGGTCCATTAAACTGTTTTTATTCTGTATATTTGAAAAATATTTATAGGAAACATTTTGAAAAGGCTTATTATTTTAGGATTAATTCTGTGGACTAGAATGACCATATCAGAGGTTACATTTATGGCTCTAGGTATACGCTGGAGGACTGCTCTCCGAAAGGTTGTATAAATGTACCACTCAGAGTGCAGCCTCGCCAGCATTATTATATTATACACAGCCTCTCCAGTGTATTATTAATTTTTCATCATCATCATCATCATCATCATCATCGTAAATGATACTTCAATGTTGGTTTAGCTACCTTTTTTTTTATCATTTCTGAGGTTGAATTTTTTTCATACATCTATTTACCACTTGTGAAAATTTTCTGCTCATGCCCTTTGATATCTTAACTATTTGAGTTGTTTGCTCATAAACTTGAACGGTTCTTGATGTGTTTATTATAAGGCAGGTCATTCTACAAGGCAGCCTTGTTGTAAATACTCTGCCACTGTCAAAATGTATATGAACCACTGTATACATGACAGTGTCTGGACTGTGGTGGGTGTGAGCACAGTGTAGACACTGAAGATGAGAGAGTAATTTCTTGCCCAAGGTTATACAACAGGTGAATCTGGCCCCAGGACTCCAATCCAGCAGAGCTTGACTCCTGTGCCACCCAACAGAGCAGCCCAGACCATGACAGAAACACTCAGCTTAGAAGCCTCTGCTCAGGCCTGGGGTGGCGCTCTTTCCTCCAGTAGGTCCCACCCCCAGCCTCTCCACTGGATTCTTTGCCCGAGTGGGTCCTGGGACCCTCTCCCTCCATCGTCCCTACTCCTGTTCTGTTGGCCCCGGGTGTCCAGGCCATGAGCAATCTCCCTCTCATCCTTTCCTGGCAGAAGCCAGAACAGCACAGGTGTCCGAGTTGGGCACTTCCCAGCCCTTCCCCAGCCCTGCTGGCCTGGGACTTGGCTCCCGTGAGCTTCACCACTGCTCTTCTCCCAGTGCGACCAACAGCAGATACTCACCCTGACAGCCCCAAACATGCCCCGGCCTGCTCCCCGAGTTTGAGGGCCGGAGTGAGACAGAGGGCCCGTTGGCCACCCCAGAAGCCTGGGAGCTGTAATGGACCAGATCTGGGGGCCCCACCCTCAGGCACCTGCTCCTAACTCCGAGGAGAAGTCAGCACAGCCAGCTGCAGCAGAAAACACAATCCTTCCAATGGCTTCCAAGAGTTCACCAAAGAGTGAGAGGTAAGTGAACCGTTGGGTCGATGGAAGTCTCCTCCTGGTGGCACCAAGCCGGTGCCATGGCTCAGCTGAGTGTCAGCAGCACAGAGCACCCAGGGAGCTAAAGGGAGTAGTTCAGGCTCTGCCCGGACCACCTGGGACATTTCTGAACTTGATGCTGACAAAGAGCTCTCCAGTCTGGTCAAGGTGGGAACTCAAAGGGTTCTTTCTTGGTGGTTTGCTGTCACTGTTGTTACTGCTGCCATCACTTGTTTCTCTAGTTGGAACTCAATGCTAATGGCCCCAAGATTCCTGAGTTCAAATCCCTTAAGGGCCAAAGGTTTAACTTTGCAGAGAAGAAAAAAAGTCTTCCCTAGCTGTAGAAAGGACCTGTCTGTACAGAGAAGAGAGGACAGGAATTGGGCCAGGCAGATGTCAGTTCTGCCTCCTACTTGACCAGTCACTGCGATCCCCTGAAATTCAGATTCCTAATCAGTAAAACAGGAATAGTGACACCCACCTCACTGGGCTATGGTGAGGACCAAGGGGAACAGTGACACCATGTGATTATTTTGAAAATATAAATAAGTGGTCACAAGTTGAAAACTATGCCAGAACTTTAAAATACATGAACAGGGCTTCCCTGGTGGCACAGTGGTTTGAGAGTCCGCCTGCCGATGCAGGGGACACGGGTTCGTGCCCCGGTCCGGGAGGACCCCACATGCCGCGGAGCGGCTGGGCCCGTGAGCCATGGCCGCGGAGCCTGCGCGTCCGGAGCCTGTGCTCCGCAACGGGAGAGGCCACAGCAGTTAGAGGCCCGCGTACCGCAAAAAAAAAAAAAAATACATGAACAAAGAAAAGAAAGTGCTAGCTATAGTTCAGACAAAATACCTGTCCCAAGCCACTAAAAATTCTTCTTCATCTAAGAGGAATAAAAGACACCTCAAATATCTTGTTGTACTGCCCAAGCATCCTTACATATAAAAGGCCAAGTGACTAATCTGGTGTCAATACATTTTTAACAACCACAGCCTTCTGAGCTCAATCCATTGTCATCTACTGCTGTGATGGGGATTTCGGATTAAACGATAGAAATCAAAAAGTCCTGCCTTCTGAGAGGCTCACAGCCAAGTAAAGAAGGAAGCCTTGGTTCTTTGATAGGTCCTATGTCTTACACTGAAAACACCCCTCTAAAGAGTCAGCTATCTCCCTTCATAAACCCCAGACCAGTCCTTGGAGGTGGACAGGGAGGGAGGGCCCCCCACCCCATGTGTGAAGGGCTTCAGGCCCTCAGCTCAGCTCTGGCTCCTAGAGAGTGGTAGCAACAGAGGCAAGTGACAGCTGCACTGGGAAGGTGACTTTCTTTGACTAAAGTCCCCGGAGCGGGGCTCTGTCCACTCTCAGCTTTGGAAGAACTGCTCCGATTTCGTTAAAGGATAGCATAAAGGTTCTCAGACTCGCCTGGCCCAAGATTATCTCTCTGGGATTGTTCCAAGGAGGTCCTGGCAGAGCTGCCACAATTGACTGGAACATCCATCTCTCTAGATTTCAGGATTTCATGGATCAGTAAAATTTTGAAACAAATGTAGGGGACCAACATAAAGTTGCCAACTTCTTATTTAGGTAAGACATTAAAACACACACACACACACGCACAACTGCCAATTATTACCACCATAATTTTATGAAAGAAAAGACATTTCAATGCCAATAAGAAATATTTGAATAAGCTTAACTTTGTGGAAATCTCACCTCATTGACTTTATTTTTTTCATTTCTTCATGGACCAACGAAAACTCTCATCACAGACCATCATGGAGCCAAGGAGGAGCCACTGGGCATGATCCACCAAGATGTGCTCTGGCCTGAGGACTCTCCGGCTCTTTCAACTAACTTGGGAAGAAAACCTTCCATCCCAGCTGGCTGGGATCTTCAGACCTGCGTGGAAACTCCCTGGACAGTGCATACCCATGATAATGCCACTCAGCTGAACATGGTGCCCCCATATTCTGCCCAACTCACTAAGGTTCTCAAACAGTGATGGGGAGATCAGTGATGGGGAGACGATGCACCTTAGCCTGGTGGCTCCACTCTATCTAATTGATAACTGGGTTTCCACATACTATTTTGTTTGCTAAGTGTTCTGCTGCCAAAAGAAAGTTTAAAAACATCACTGCAAGGTGCATAGAATAATTACAGCTCCCATGGACAGAGCACTGAAGGATGTACTTTAAATACATCATCTTATTCATGTTATTTTATTGAATGAAAAAAGTAAGTTGCAGAATAATATGGACAGTAATACTTCCAGGTCTTTGTTTGAAGAAGAACCTCTCTCTCTTCCCTACAGATATTTATATAGGCATAGGAAAGGTCTGGAAGGATCTGTAAACAGTGGCTGCCCCTTGGGGATGAGAATGCCTAGGTATGTGTAACTACCGTTTTAAACCTTATGTTTCCATATTTTTAGATCTTTTTCAGTAAAAAAAAATATTTTTTTACAGTTTTACAATAAACATGCATTATGTTGTAATAAAAATATATCTCTATTTTCCCCAGCAACTCCAATTTATAGGTAAGGAAATTGAGGCTCAGGAAAAGCATGATAAATGTGTGTATATTACTAGGATCCAAGGTGGACTCTGACGGCTAACAGAGGTACAGGAGTTCAGATGTAAGCAGGACCATGACATTTGAGCTGGGGCTTAAGAGAAGGGTAGGAATTTCACAGGCCAAAAGGGTAGGAATTTCACAGACATTCCAGATAAGAAAAGTAACATAAGAAAACGCGTGAAGATCGGAAGCATGGGCCATTTTTAAGGAAGGATAATGGGCACAGTTGGATAAAGCATAGAATGGAAGGGAAGGGAGGGAAGGAAAAGAACATCCATTCAGTGCCTACCAAGTAG